ACATTGCGGCAAATACGTTGAAAAAGAGAATTTACTTTGGAGGAAACTGCATCTCAATAATTTATTTATTATTTATTTATTTATTTTATTTCTATACCGCCCTTCTCCTGAAGGACTCAGGGCGGTGTACAGCCTGATTAAAAGCACAAAGACAGACAAAATCTAAAAATAATTAAAATTATTAAATAATTGGCTCAATTATAAAACCCCCAAATTTAAAATCCCACATTTAAAACCAATTAAAATCTTTACATTGATAGCCCGGCCTGGCGGAACAACAAGGTTTTGAGGGCACAGCGAAATACACGGAGATCAGAGATCTTATGCATTTCTGGGGGCAGTTCATTCCAAAGGGCAGGGGCTCCCACAGAGAAGGCCCTCCCCCTGGGTGTCGCCAGCCGACATAATTTGGCCGATGGCACCCTGAGGACAATTTTCATTTCATAAAGGAGGGATATGAGCAATTTACATTAACTGTTGAGTATATTAAACTAAGATACTGTATAACAAAGGTTGCAATATGTAATGAGATACTATGAAAGTAAATAGTTATGAAAATTTCTACAATTTTCAAACATTGTCAGAAAAACCAGCAGAATCAATTAGTTCCATAATAATAGGGAATTTAAAAAAAACCGGCAAGACTTTTATCAATTTGTACATCCTTAAATCTCAACCTCTGGAGGTTTGTAATAGTTTGTCACAGCCACAGGAAGTAAAACAAAACCTTTAATACAACACAGGGATTTCAATCCACATTTTAAAAACAGATCAATATGTACATGCAAAACCAATCTTGTGAGAATATCTAGAGAACTGCACCTGAAGCTAACACGGTTCAGTTAACTCTAGACTCTTTACACCTGTAAATGTAAAGGTAAAGGTTCCCCTTGCACCTATGTGCTAGTCGTTACCGACTCTAGGGGGCGGTGCTCATCTCCCTTTCAAAGCCAAAGAGCCAACGCTGTCCGAAGACGTCTTCGTGGTCATGTGGCCGGCATGACTAAACGCCAAAGGCGCACGGAATGCTGTTACCTTCCCACCAAAGGTGGTCCCTGTTTTTTGACTTGCATTTTTTACATGCTTTCAAACTGTACACCCTATCTAAAATGTCTATGGTAAAGGTCATCATGTTCAAATTCTCTTTAAAGCAAAAAATGTCCTAGATAGATTTGAGTAATGAGCTAAAATAAATATGGAGGAGTTTAATGGAGGCATGTCAAGTTCTGCACTTTTCAGCAGGAAAAATCTAAGACCTAAATATTAAATGATTTGATGGTACTATATGGGAAAAGAAACAGAATGTCCTTGTTGACCACAAGTTAAATATGCTATGATATAGCTGCTAAGGAAGTGAATGCTATTTTGGGGTTCAATAACAGGACCATGAGTTCAGACCACAAGAAGTAATCATTTCCCTCTACTCTGCTAAGGACAGAATTCATAGTATAACTTAAATAATGTGTCCAAGTCAGAAAGGACAGTGACAAATTGGAGCAAATTCAGGGGAAATCTACCAAGTTGGTAAAGTGTGTGGAAACTAAGCCTTATGATGAATGGTCAAAGGACCAGGGAATGTTTAGTCCACTTCCATCTACTCCAACAATGATGAGAAATAGGATAGTAGTCTTCAAATATATGAAGGACTGGCACAGAGAAGCTTCTCTGCTGTCCAAGAGGCCAGAATTAATGAGCTAAAACTATAAGGAAACAAGTTCAGACATCAAGAGGAACTTTCTAACTGTAGACGCTGTCAGCCAGTGGGATAATCTGCCACATGATATGATAAGTTCTCCTGTTGAGAGGTCTTCAAAAAAGGCTAGATGGTCATCTGTTAGACATACTGTAACTCATTGGATCCTGTCCTGAGCAGGACGTTGTATTATGGTTATAATCATTTCAATTTAGGTGCATCCAAACCAATTGATTATCTCTAGGGACAGTGGTGGGATTCAAAAATCTTTACCACCGGTTCTGTGGGCGTGGCTTGGTGGGCATAGCAGGAGAAGGATACTGTAAAATCTCCATTCCCACCCCACTCCAGGGAAGGTTACTGCAAAATCCTCATTTCCTCCTGATCAGCTGGAACTCGGGAGACAGAGAATAGATGGGGGTGGGGCCAGTCAGAGGTGATATTTACCGGTTCTCCGGACTACTCAAAATTTCTGTTACCAGTTCTCCAAAAAAGACAATGATGTCTCAGCTGTCAACACTTGGATTATAGGTTGAACAGGCATGCGGTTTACCTCTAGTATTCTAGTGTTCTCTATTATGGTAAAATATATTTGACAAAAACCTGTATTCCCCCTTTTTTGACAATACATTTTTTCTGGCAGTATCTGGGTGACCACCCAGTGGGTTCATTCCAAAATTAAGAGCTCTACACATCATTCACAAAGAAAAACACTAGATATATTCAACACTAGATATATTCAACACTAGATATATTCAACCTAAAGGATCCACATTTGCTAGCAAATTACTTTTCTAAATTAGTATTAAACATCCTATGAAGGATGGCCGTTGTTTAAACTTCCAGGAGCTGATGTCCACACATTTGGAAGGTGCCCATGTTGGGAGAGGCTGATCTGTATTCCAAAGATTTTCACAGAGAATATAATAGAGCAGAGGTCTTCAAACTTGTCAGCTTTAAGACTTGTGAACTTCAAGACTTGTGGAAGTCCACAAGTCTTAAAGCTTCCAAGTTTGAAGACCTCTGCAACAGAGTGATGCCATTACTGATCTGGTTCCCCTGACTTTTAAGACAGCTACTAAGATAATATCCACAAGGTTTAGTAAGGCTAAACAAATTCTACAGAGGGTGGCAGAGCAGGAAGTCATGCTCACTGCAAAATTTCTTCTATATTTGTCCTAGAAAGGTCAACAGAAATCCCTATCAGTCTGAATATGATTTTGGGGGGGTTTTTTGTTTGGTTTTTTTTGACAAATTGAGAAAAGTTAAAACTTTCAAGAAGTTGAGAAATTTCTCAGCAGGGTTAAACACAACCCACTGCAAGCCTTAAGATACCCATCACATGCAATCTCCTTTCTCATCTGCAAAAATATAAACAGAAGGCAGCTAATAATAAGCTACTTTCGCCCTGCCCTCGCCACAAAAGTTCTATAGCAGTGCCCATATTATGAGGTTTATGAAGAAAAGAAAAAAACCTGCCTTTGTTGTTCAGCTTTGATCTGTGGGCAGAAAGTGGTTTCATCATATGTATAAATGTTGTTGGAGAACATTGTGAAATCCTGTAGTCCTGAACTGCTAGCAGGGTATCTGCAGCTGAACGATAAGACTGTATCTGCTATAAATATAACAGAATTTTTCACCCACATATATACAGATGGATATGAAACACTAACAAAGAATCTTGCTGTACCAAATATAGAGCCCCCTCAATAACAATGCTCTCTAGGTTTCAAATTCTGACATGAATATTCCGGCTAGAAGAGATTTTGGAAGGATTTTGTTGTTGTTGTTGTTGTTGTTCAAGTCTTCGCCAGGTCTTTCTCCATGATTTGATTAAGTGGTTGTACAGTTCATCTGAGAACACCAAGATAGCTTGGAAATACCAGATGAAAATGATTTCTTGTCAGGCCATAGTAGGGCCAGTTGTCATGATCATTCATCAAGGATAGGGAAGGATCATCTCTGTGATGCTACATAACTGTGTGAAGCCTGCAGCCACATGTTGGACTTGGATTTTTGAAGAAGTAAAGGTGCCCTTGAGGTAAATTTGACTGCTGGAGACACCATGGACATACCCATGCAATTTGCTTGGATACAACATAGCAATAGCGGTAGCATTTAGGCTTATATACCACGCTATAGTATTTTACAGCACTCTCGGGCAATTTACAATATAAACATTATTTGCATATTTTCCCCAATAATCTGGGTCCTCATTTTATCAATCTTGTAAGGATGGAAGGCTGAGTCAACTTTGAGCCCTTGATCAAACTCCAGTCTGTGGGCGGAGTTTGCCTGCAATACTGCATTCTAACCACTGCTCCACCAGGACTCCCTTACAGAAGTGGGTTGCACTGCCTTTTCTGAGATTGCCTTTTTAAAAAATTCCCAGGCTAGCATACAGTTCTGGGATTTTACGTCGGTCTCCCATCCAAATACTAACCAAGCTCAACTCTGCTTAGCTTTTCTCAGATTAGTTAGAGTGGATTTAGTGCTGCTTAGCAGAGCATATATTACCCAGATGCTAAATGAGGATTATTTATAACAGGGGCCCACGGGCCAGATGCATCATGTGCTGGCCACGCCCACCTCCATTTTAGTGAAGGGGGAAAAAGTCGTGTGACAACAACGTGACAACGCGAGTTTGAGACCCCTGATCTCATGGGGGGAAACAGCCTGCTGGGGGAAGAGGGGGGATGGAAAGAGGGTGAGAGAGGGAGGAAAGAGAGAGAGAGTTTATACACATTGGAGGAGAGCCAAATTCTGAAGTCTGAACTGAGGACAGGGAAGGGCAGAAAAGATTTGAGCTTTGTAAGAACTTTCATTCTTCTCCTTTTCTACGCCTCTATCACAGGAAGAAATGAAGACCAGCTGCATTATCCAATTTGCCTTCCAGTATTGGCACTTGGCATTTGCTTTAAAAAGCAGGGACAGGAACAGAGAGAATCAGTCTTCTCTCCATCCTTATTTTCTCCCTGACAGGTTACAATCATCAGAGTATTTAGATTTCTCGGGATTCTCTGAACAATTGATAGGATTGTTCTGCTAGATTTATAACTCAAAGTTTTAAAAACAAAAATCCTGTTAAATTTCTTAAGAACATAAAAAGCAGCTGCATAGTCCTTCACGCGGGAAGGCTTTGGATTAAAAACAAAATCCCTTAAAAATACAGCCAAAAACCAGATGTAAAAGAAGAATGTACTTGAGGAAAGGGAGTAGAGGAAGAAAAAGGAAAGTCAGAGTTCACAAAGAGAAAGTTTACAAATCTATTTTTTTTAAAAAAACAATGATGCAAGTTATACATTACCTGTATTTCTTAATAAAGTTAAGTCTTCAATGTTATAGCATATACAGGATAGATGGTTTGCAGAGAGGACAGTCTGAAGAGGGGGAAAAAGGGGGGGAGAGGGGGAGAGGGGGAGAGAGGGAGGGAAAGAGGCGGAGAGAGAGAGAGGGAGGGGGAAAGAGAGGGAGAGGGGGAGAGAGAGGGAGAGGGAGGGAGAGAGGGAGGGAGGGGAGAGAGGGAGGGAAGGAGAGAGAGGGAGGGAGAGAGAGAGGGAGAGAGGGGGGACGGAGGGGGAGAGAGGGAAAGGGAGAGAGAGAGCTCTTAGCACATTTTCTTTGATTTTAATGTCAAAGCTTTTGCTCTTCTTTCCCTTCATATCATATCTCACACAAATGGAATCAGGTGGGAAAACAGCAACAGGTTGGCCCCTCGTTATACAGAAATAGGAGCACTCTATTTAAAATAGGAGCACTCTATGTAAAGAATATTTATCAAAAATATATGCATTTCTTAAACACCAGTGTCATCTATGATACATTGCTACTTGAGGTAGAACAACCAAGGATATTTCCCACCCAGTTGCCCTTCAAGTTGAATGCCCTTCAAGTATTTCTTTGTCCTTGACTTACAACAGTTCATTTAGTGACCATTCAAAATTACCATAGCACTGAAAAAAGTGATTTATGACAGTTTTTCACATTATGACCATTGCAGCAGCCCCATGGTCATGTGATTAAAATTTACATACTTGGCAACTAACTCATATTTATGACGGTTGCAGTATCCCGGGGTCATGTGATTACTTTTTGTGACCTTCTGACAAGCAAAGTCCATGGAGAAGCTAGATTCAGTTAACAACTGTGTTACTAACTGCAGCGATTCACTTAATAACCGTGGCAAGAAAGGTCGTAAAATGTGGCAAAATCCACTTAACAAATGTTTCACTTAGCAACATACATTTTGGGCTCAATTGTGGTCATATGTCAAGGACTACCTGTAACCATTCCCTATCTTTTCAAAGTCACAATATTTGTTACTCCCTTTTGCGGGGGAGTGGGAGTCACTTCTGAGATCTGCCCATTCCTGAAAAAAGAGTACAAAAAGATGTGCTTTGTGGGAGATGCTCAGCGCAGACCATGAGTTTGCCCAGCGCTGAAGACATTTCGAAAGTGCTAAAAGAAATTTCAGCGCTGGAAAATGGTTTGCTGAAAGAAATTTCCATCCTGGGAAATGCTCCCCCAGATTCGCTTGGCAAGTTTGGCAGCCTGTTCACACCAATTCGATCTGTACTACAGATGGCTGACTCAAATGCCTTTCTACTGCACTACATCATATTGCTCCCACTGCGCTGCCAAATTGTCCACCAAATTTGTAAACAGTCTCTAATTAGGCAGTGGGCACCGGCTCAGTTTCCCACAGAAATACACACATGCACAGACCTGCCAATATCAGATCGCCAAAAGTCATAGCAGGAGCCATCGCAGACATTTAGTTCATCGTACCAAACGATCGAGTCGATGGGAATTTGCAGTTGAGAGGATATTGTTTAAGTGATCTTTTGGCTGACCTCAGATACGCCGGAAGATCCCCCCGGCTAAGACTGCCTACGTACTTCAAATATGCAAATTCAGATCGCAAGAAAGTTGATCCAGGTTTCTCACTTCCATGGGATACTCCGGTGTGGGAAGAAAACAGCATGAACTGCAAAATTTTTCAAGATCCATTATATGGATACCTGTAGGAGAGTAGTAATATAGCATTCATATTAAAACAGCACTAGCAATAGCACTTAGACTTATATACCGCTTCACAGTGCTTTGCAGCCCTCTCTAAGCGATTTACAGAATCAGCATATGGCCCCAAACAATCTGGGTCCTCATTTCACTGACCTCCAATGGTGGGTTGCCCCCGGTTCACACCGGTTCTATAAAACCGGTAGTAAAATTGGCGGGATGCTCCGCCCACCGACCCCGACGTCATCAAAATGCTTCTGCACAGAAGAGTGCGCGTGCGCGCGAGCAAAGCAAGTGCACGTGCACGGCCCTGCTGTAAACCGGTAGTAAAGGTAAGTAGAACTCACCCCTGCTGACCTCGGAAGGATGAAAGGCTGAGTCAACCTTAAACCGGTCAGGATTGAATTCCTGGCTATGGGCAGAGTTAGCCTGCAATACTGCATTCTAACCACGGCTCCTAATAACAGAATGCTTCAAGGAGATATTTCAAAGAAATAAAAATGGTTCAAAACTTTACATGATCCTTAAAAACCGTGCCTCCCGCACAGGTAAAGATTGCTAAAGGTCAGCCACTCTCAGAATAGCAAATAAATCAGTTGTACAATAGTTATCCAATGTGCTGTGCTTCTGGATGAGATTGAGCAACAGAGAGTCCTCCACTTCTGGAATGCTCTCTTGTCAAGCATATCTGATTCCTTGTGTGTCCAATCACACTTGGCCAATAAAGAATTCTATTCTATTCTATTCTATTCTATTCTATTCTGTTCTGTTCTGTTCTGTTCTATTCTACTCTACTCTACTCTACTCTACTCTACTCTACTCTACTCTCTACTACTCTACTCTACTCTACTCTACTCTATTCTACTCTATTCTATTCTACTCTACTCTACTCTACTCTCTACTACTCTACTCTACTCTACTCTATTCTACTCTATTCTACTCTATTCTATTCTACTCTACTCTACTCTCTACTACTCTACTCTACTCTACTCTACTCTACTCTACTCTACTCTACTCCTATTCTATTCTATTCTATTCTATTCTATTCTATTCTATTCTATTCTATTCTATTCAGCATTGAGCTTATTACCTTAAAAAGATACCATGGGAGATATTAACTAAATTTTGCTGCAATGTAATGGTCTTCGAGAAGGCATCTTAGAGATAGGAAAAAAAACAGATTCCCCCCCCCCACACACACACACACACCTATGCTCACAAAATGAAAATAGGCCATGAAACCTTCCTTGTTCCCAATGTGCAAACATCCACCATGGTGCATTCTGTCGCTGATCTGCCAGTAGAACCAGCAGCTAAAAGGGACTGTCACCAGGCTGTGCCTACAGAAATATGGGAAGCTTTTGGAACTTTGAAACAATTCATTCCTGGAACAAGAGAGACAGGACAGAGAGGATGAGTAACATGGGAGCACTAACCACTTCATTGCTTTCTTGTTTGCATGTGCTGATTCATTCATCACATTTAACAGGTAAGGTTGCTCTGCCCGCTTGTAATTCTATAATCACTTTCCTAGGCTTAAGTCACTCCAGAGGAATCTGTCAGGGGGCAAGTATAAAACAAAATAATACTAAGGTGGTTGTAGCTGCATGACTGAAGCTCTACCCTTTGTATATGTGTACCAGTGGTGGGTTTCTACAGGTTTGCCCCAATTCGGGTGAGCCGGTAGTGGCGGTGGTGGGAGGCTCCACCCACCCATCTGGACATCATCATGGATGCTCTGTGCATGCTCAGAAGCGCCAAGCATGAGTGAGCGCTCCCGGTTCCGAACCGATAGTGAAAGTAAGTGGAACCCACTACTGATGTGTACCATGTTGGTATATGTAGAAAAAGAAAGGGGCTTCAGTCACATTTCTGCAATCACCATCTTGGCTTTTTTGATTCCTCCCACCTCCAAGGATCATGCTGTTTTAAAAATCCCCAATGGGAAACAGATCTACAGCTTTCTGGAGAAAAAAAAAAAAACAGTGACCAAGGATCAGCTTACCAGAGTGGGGAATCCAAATCTTCTTGGAACAGCAGCAGCAAAGAAGTAGGGGATGGGAAGATGTCAAGACTCTGTCAAGTGTCTAGAAAGCAAAGGAGGCCACCTTCACCCTGTCTTCGGGCACTGGAGGGTGAGATCAGGAGAAGAAGGGCACAGAGCCTACTGCTCATCTATTCAGAGGTTAATTGAAGCCACCTCGCCTTCTTTTGCTCATTGATTCTTTTGCTTATATGATTTAGGATTTTGATATCTGCCCCTCCCTTGAGCCAGCAGTGTGCAGCAGCAGCCAAAAAAAGCTAATACTATACAAACCTTGGTTGTATAAGCAGAGGTATAGAATCAAAATCACGTGAAGTATTAGTACCGCTTTATAAAGCCTTAGTAACACCACACCTGAAATACTGCATCCAGTTTTGATCACCACATTATTAAAAAGATATTGAGACTCTAGAAAGAGTGCAGAGAAAAACAACTAAGGTGATTAAAGGCCTGGAGACTAAAATATATGAAGAAAGGTTGCAAGATTTGGGTTTGGCTCATCAAGAGTAAAGAAGGACTAGGGGGAGTGGGGGGACGACATGATGGCAGTATTCCAGTATTTGAGAGGCTGCTACAAAGAGGAGGGGGTTAACTTATTTTCCAAAGCACCAAAGGCCAGGACAAGAAATAATGGATGAAGACTAATCAAGGAGAGAAGCAATCTGGAGTGAAGGAGAAACTTTCTAACAGTGAGAACAATTAATCAGTGGAACAGCTTGCCTTTAAAAGTTGTGGGTGCTTCATCGCTGGAGGTTTTTAAGAAGTGACTGGACAGTGACTTGTCTGAAATGGTATAGGGACTCCTGCTTGCTCAGGGGGTTGGACTAGAAGACCTCCAAAATCCCTTCCAATTTTTGATTGAAATTGAAATTGATTGGGTGGTTCTCAAGTCATAAACTAGGATTGCACATTGCAGCCCACAGGGTGAAGCAACAGTGGAATTTAGATCTTGACGCAAGACTCCACCAAATCTTATGTTCACTATTAGCCAGCATATGTCCACTTTCTCCAAAGCTTGTCATCTTGTATCCTAGTGATACAGCTTCCCTTCCCCTGGTCACTTCATTTAGTGCTGCCAGGCAAACCACCATGTTCACAGATTGCAAATCTTGTGTGGGGAATAACATTTTTAGAACTTATGTTACAAGGAAAGTTATGCCGCTTGTGGTACAATTATATTATCGGGCAATTACATGAGCACTATATATTATCACCACAGCAACATCTACTTTTAAATGTGTACCATCTGTAGATAATGCTGGTCTTATGCATTTGCCATTAGTCCTGACCTTATGTTCTACCTGTGCCGTGTTCCCAAGGAAAGCAGAGGCAAACTGATTAGCAGCAGGTACATTCAGGTGTGCAGATGGCTCGCTCCCGTTCCTAGGAAATCGTGTTGCTGGCTATTCAAGTATGGATGTAATTTCAGTGGAACGATGTCATTGGAAGCCATAAAGTGCAAGTTCTGATATATATGTGTGTGTATGTACACCCTGTTTCCCCCCCAAATAAGACATCCCCTGATAATAAGTCCAATCGGGCTTTTGAGCGCATGGCAATAAGGCCAAGCGCTTATTTCAAGGTTCAAAAAAATATAAGACAGGGTCTTATTTTTGGGGAAACACTGTGTGTGTGTGTGTGTGTGTGTGTGTGTGTGTGTGTGTGTGTGTGTTAGTTATAATATTAAAGTAAGTTTGAACTGTCTCAAGCACCTGTCCTTGGCACTGAGTATCAGTTTGCATTCGTTTTGGAACCAGCTCCAGGGACACAGTAAAGGGAGACCACTTTCTAGTGAAAGAAAACCATTGGTGAATCAAGCTAAAAGCCAAAGGCCTTGACCCACTGGCCTCAAGAGGAGGTGGGACAATCTCCTGTCAATCACCAGAATTACTCTTACCAAGTCTATGGTTTGCCCAAAATTCCACTTCCTGAGCAGTATAATTGCTGTCCTTGATGGATCTTACCTATCCTATTAGATCTGGCAGGTTAGGTACGCTCCAAATCCCTATGGTGAAAGAAGGAGAGGCCTTGGAAGCATGCCTTCTCTGCCATAGTTCCTGCCTCCCATCAGAGATGGCTCCAATCCTGTTGGCCTACAGAAAAGCAGTGAAGACCTGCCTTTCCCCCCCAGGCACTGGGGCCGGATGTTCATGGAGCTGGGATGGGGTGGTTAGTGGGTGGGTGGGTGGATGCAAGTATATTGTTCATTGTTTTAAGTAATCATATGATGGCATTGTGTTTTTATTGTATTCTGTTTGCTGCCCAGAATTCTGGTAGATGGATGGCTATGTCAGTTAGTTAGCTAAATAAATACAGGTAGGTAGGTAGGTAGGTAGGTAGGTAGATAGATAGATAGATAGATAGATGAATGTTGTTACACTTGACTTCCTTCCTGGGCTCAGAGTTGCTCCTCACGGGCCTAAGAGACAAACGCAATGAAAGAGATGGCATAAGAGTTCTTCGGGGTTTCATTTATCTTGCTTCACTTTTTAGGGTTGTGGATAAAGAGCTTTCTTCCATTTTAATTTATTCTCTTCCTACCAGAAGAAAAGAAAGCACATGGAAGTCAAATATTGCGAAAGAAAGAAAAAGAAAGAAAGAAAGAAAGAAAGAAAGAAAGAAAGAAAGAAAGAAAGAAAGAAGGAGGGAGGGAGGGAAGAGGAGGAGGGGAAGGGGAAGAGAGGAGATGAGATGAGATGGGAAGGACACAGGAGAGGAGGGGGAAGAGAGGAGAGAGGGAAGGAAGGGAAAGACAAAATGCAGGAAAAAGAGAGGAAAGGAAAAAAAGAAAATATAAAGAAGTAGTTTCTATTGTTCTTCACAGTGGTTATGGTATAAATTTATGTCTTACTATATGGCTAGAGAATAACTTCCATTTTTTCTACAATCTATTTTTACAATCATCAAAACCATATACCATACATTCATTTTTTTAATGGTTTTCAATCAGCAATAACC